CTCTCTCTGTCTCTGTCTCTGGCTCTCTCTCTGGCTCTCTCTCTCAATTCAATTTCAATTCAATGTAAGGGCTTTATTGGCATGGGGAAACATATGTTACGTTGCCAAAAGCAAGTGTAATGGATAATAAACAATAATATTAACAGTAAACATTACACTCAGAGTCCAAAAGAAATAAAGACATTTCAATGTCATATTATGTCTATATACAGTGTTGTAACAATGTGCAAATAGTTAAAGTACAAATGGAAAAATAAATAACATAAATATGGGTTGTATTTACAATGGTGTTTGTTCTTCACTGGTTGCCCTTTTCTTGTGGCAACAGGTCACACATCTTGCAGCTGTGATGGCACACTGTGGTTTTTTCACACAGTAGTATAAGGGAGTTTATCAAAAATTGGTTTGTTTTCGAATTCTTTGTGGGTCTGGTGTAATCTGAGGGAAATATGTGTCCTTCTAATATGGTCATACATTTGGCAGGAGGTTAGGAAGTGCAGCTCAGTTTCCACCTCATTTTGTGGGCAGTGGTGCACATAGCCTGTCTTCTCTTGAGAGCCAGGTCTGCCTACGGCGGCCTTTCTCAATAGCAAGGCTATGCTCACTGAGTCTTTACATAGTCAAAGCTTTCCTAAGTTTGGGTCAGTCACAAGCGGTCAGGTATTCTGCACTGTGTACTCTCTGTTTAGGGCCACATAGCATTCTAGTTTTTACTCTGTTTTTTTGTTTGTTCTTTCCAATGTGTCAAGTAATTCTCTTTTTTGTTTTCTCATGATTTGGTTGGGTCTAGTTGTGTTGTTGTTGTCCTGGGGCTGTGTGGGGTCTGTTTGTGTTGTGAACAGAGTCCCAGGACCAGCTTCTTAGGGGACTCTTCTCCAAGTTCATCTCTCTGTAGGTGATGGCTTTGTTATGGAAGGTTTGGGAATCGCTTCTTTTTAAAGTGGTTATAGAATTTAAAGGCTCTTTTCTGGATTTTGATAATTAGCGGGTATTGGCCTAATTCCTGCTCTGCATGCATTATTTGGTGTTTTACGTTTGTACACAGAGGATGTTTTTGCAGAATTCTGCATGCAGAGTCTCAATTTGGTGTTTTGTCCCATTTTGTGAATTCTTGGTTGGTGAGCGGACCCCAAGACCTCACAACCATAAAGGGCAATGGGTTCTATAACTGATTCAAGTATTTTTAGCCAGATCCTAATTGGTGTGTCAAATTGTATGTTCCTTTTGATGGCATAGAAGGCCCTTCTTGCCTTGTCTCTCAGATCGTTCACAGCTTTGTGGAAGTTACCTGTGGCGCTGATGTTTAGGCCGAGGTATATATAGTTTTTGGTGTGCTCTAGGGCAACGGTGTCTAGATGGAATTTGTATTTTTGGGCCTGGGAATTTGACCTTTTTTGGAACACCATTATTTTTGTCTTACTGAGATTTACTGTCAGGGCCCAGGTCTGACAGAATCTGTGCAGAAGTTCTAGGTGCTGCTGTAGGCCCTCCTTGGTTGGTGACAGAAGCACCAGATCATCAGCAAACAGTAGACATTTGACTTCAGATTCTAGTAGGGTGAGGCCGGGTGCTGCAGACTGTTCTAGTGCCCTCGCCAATCCGTTTATATAAATGTTGAAGAGGGTGGGGCTCAAGCTGCATCCCTGTCTCACCCCACGGCCCTGTGGAAAGAAATCTGTGTGTTTTTTGCCGCACACTTGTTGCTTGTGTACATGGGGGGAAAAACATACGACATTATAAAATCCAACCCCACTTTCCATCTATTTGTATGGCAGACCCTCATGCCAAATTGAGTCAAAAGCTTTTTTGAAATCAACAAAGCATGAGTAGACTTTGCCTTTGTTTTGGTTTGTTTGTTTGTCAATTAGGGTGTGCAGGGTGAATACGTGGTCTGTCGTATGGTAATTTGGTAAAAAACCAATTTGACATTTGCTCAGTACATTGTTTTCACTGAGGAAATGAATGAGTCTGCTGTTAATGATAATACAGAGGATTTTCCCAAGGTTGCTGTTGATGCATATCCCACGGTAGTTATTGGGGTCAAATTTGTCTCCACTTTTGTGGATTGGGGTGATCAGTCCTTGGTTTCAAATATTGGGGAAGATGCCAGAGCTAAGGATGTTGTTAAAGAGTTTAACTATAGCCAATTGGAATTTGTGGTCTGTATATTTTATCATTTCATTGAGGATACCATCAACACCACAGGCCTTTTTGGTTTGGAGGGTTTGTATTTTGTCCTGTAGTTCATTCAATGTAACTGGAGAATCCACTGGGTTCTGGTAGTCTTTAATAGCTGATTCTAAGATTTGTATTTGATCATGTATATTTTTTTGCTGTTTGTTCTTTGTTATAGGGCCAAAAAGATTGGAGAAGTGGTTTACCCATACATCTCCGTTTTGGATAGATAGCTCTTCGTGTTGTTGTTTGTTTAGTGTTTTCCAATTTTCCCAGAAGTGGTTAGAGTCTATGGATTCTTCAATTACATTGAGCTGATTTCTGACGTGTTGTTCCTTCTTTTTCCGTAGTGTATTTCTGTATTGTTTTAGTGATTCACCATAGTGAAGGCGTAGGCTCAGGTTTTCTGGGTCTCTGTTTTTGGTTGGATAGGTTCTCAATTTCTTTCTTAGGTTTTTGCGTTCTTCATCAAACCATTTATCACTGTTGTTACTTTTCTTCGGTTTTCTGTTAGAGATTTTTAGATTTGATAGGGAAGTTGAGTTTAGGTTTTCTACTGCCAAGTTTCCACTTTCACTATTACAGTGGAACGTTTTGTCCAGGAAGTTGTCTAAAAGGGATATAATTTGTTGTTGCCTGATTGTTTTTTGGTAGGTTTCGACACTACTTTCCTTCCATCTATAGCATTTCTTAATATTATACAGTTCCTTTGGCTTTGTTATAATAATAAATAATATGCCATTTAGCAGACGCTTTTATCCCAAGCGACTTACAGTCATGCGTGCATACATTTTTTTTTTTTTTTGTGTATGGGTGGTCCCGGGGATCATGATTGAGTATTTCTCTGTTCAAGTAGACTGTGATTTTGCTGTGGTCTGAAAAGGGGGCAGTGGGGCTGATGTGAACGCCTGAAGCTTGGGTTTTTAGGTCAGTATAAAGTAGTCTATATATGAAGAGATGAGGGTATAGGTTACCTAAAAAATAGGGTCCCTTTGGAAAACCCACCATTGACTATGTTTTTCAAGGGGACAGAAAGAAGGTTTTTTGTTTGTTTTTTCCCCTTTTTTCTTTTTGTTTTCCCCCTTTTTCTTTTTTGCTCCCTTTTTTCTTTTGTTTCTTTTTTTGGCGTTTGTTTTTGTTTTTTCCCCCTTTTGTTGTTTGTCTCCTTTGTCTCTTTCTGTTGTTTTTTTTTTTTCTGCTTCCCCCTTTTCCCCTTTCCCCCCCCCGTTCTTTTGAAAAAAAGGTCTGTTTTATTAGAAACCCAAAGAAGGGAAAAGGGGGGATAAAAATGGTTTTTCAAATTGAACCGTGAGGGAAAACATAAAGGGGCAAACACTAGGAGGGAACAAAAGGGAGAAAAGGGAATCAGGCAGTTTTAGAACCAGTTGAGAGAACAGAAAAAACCAATAAATATGGCACATACAGGGAGGAATCAGGAAGTCCACTAGAGGATATCACGGCCATGTATTATATAATGAGTCCAATAGAGGGGATACTCACGGCATTATATAGTAATGAGTCCATTAGAGGATTGATCACGGCAGATTGTATTAATGGAGTCCACTAGGGGGGAGGATACACGGCAGTATTATATTAATGAGTCACTGAGGATATCACGGCAGGTCCACTAGAGGATTATCACGGCAGATTATATTAATGAGTCCACTAGAGGATATCACGGCAGTATTATATTAATGAGTCCACTAGAGGATATCACGGCAGTATTATATTAATGAGTCCACTAGAGGATATCACGGCAGTATTATATTAATGAGTCCACTAGAGGATAGAATCTTTAATTGAAACAAAGCCGATCACTTCACCTCTGTTTTGGTAAAAAGCTGAGGGTTTGGGGCTGGAAAAAATGTAACCACTCTCAAATCCTTTGACGGAGTTCTGGATGCAAGGACCGACCATCCATGATATCAACATTATAGATTTAACCATGTTTTGAAGCTATACGAGGTTTGTTTACAAACCTTGGAGTAAAACCAGCTTCTATTTGGGGTTCTGATTGGGTACGACAGCTTAACTAAGCTCATGAGGCATTTATAAGTGATATTCTTTAAGATGGGTATACAGTCAGGGTCCGTAATTATTGGCACGTTTTGATAAAGACTGGATAAAATAAATAATACAAATACTGACCAGTGGTGGGTTTGGTGTTGGAAAACAGAAGCACATGCAGAAAACAACCCCATTAGCTACTGTTAAATATGGTGGTGGATCTTTCATGTTATGGGTCTATTTTCCTTCCACTGGTCCTGGGGTTAACGGCATCATGAATTTTCCCCGGTACCGGGACATTTTAGCCAAAAACCTGGTTGCCTCTGCCAGGAGTCTGACACTTGGTCGTGAGTGGATCTTCCAGCAAGGAAATAACCCCAAACACAAAGAAATGGTTAATTGACCACAAAAAAAAAAAAAAAAAAAAACATTTTGCAATGGCCAGCGACCTTTATGTTAATGTTATGCCCAATGGTCTTAACCGCCCTGTAGGGAATAGGGTGCCGTTTGGGATGCACACTTGGTGACTATGGCACTACATATCACTCAAACACACTGTCCTTGTCGGCCTGGGCATTACATTCACAAGGCTTTGATCGTCGAAGTCTCCTTCTGTCTGGTGGAGAGTCTCTTAGTGAAGTGAGGGATTAGACCTTGGTGCCAGCTGGGATGTTACCAAGTGTCTCCTGAGGGTTAATAACACCCATATTTAATGTGATATGTCACTGTTCGAGGGTTAATAACACCCATATTTAATGTGCTATGTCACTGTTAGAGAAAAGCAATCAGATTTACCACAGTGGAGCACTAAGACTCTAATGAAGGATGTAACATGCAGACTCAACAATGCACATAAGTTAGCTCTTAGTATTATGTGGTTGGATACTTGTAATCAAACTATTTGAAGTAGTACTTTTGACCTGTTTGTTTCAGTATATTTTTAATAGCAGCAGTAAATACAGTCCTCTCCTCCAACAAGCTCCAATCTGTATCTCCTCTGCTCTACACAATGCTCTTTACATGGGTTCTCTGTTTGTGTGTCTCTTTGCCTCTAAGGGCTGTAAAATGCCTTTTACACGGTGTCTTTGGAGCTGAAAGAGAGAGAGAGAGAAAGCGAGGGAGGGCTGTAAAATGATCTTTACATGGTGTCTGTGACGATGACAGCAGTTTGCTACAGAGCCAGGCCTTCCAGAGGAAGCCACACACAATATTTTCTGTTTACACTGATTCCCTGTTTGTTTTCTCTCCCACTAATTCTCTCTCTCTCTCTCTCTCTCTCTCTCTGTCTCTCTCTCTCTCTCTCTTTCTCTCTGTCTCTCTCTCTCTTTCTCTCTGTCTCTCTCTCTCTCTCTCTCTCTGTCTCTGTCTCCCCCTCCCTCTCTCCTCCCCAGAGTCAGAGTACAGAGTCCCAGTATTTTTCCAGACCAGCAGCAGAAACCAGAGATGAACTGAACTCCTCCACAATGACAAAGAGAAGTTCCCTCCAGAAGATGTAAGTTACTATGATCTAATGGGGAGAATGTTCCGGAGCCACAACGTCAGGATAATAAGACACACGATCATCCTCTCTGTCTGTTTCCTGTTTCAGAGCCAGGCACGCGAATGCCAGGCCCCAACCAGAAACCCAACCCCTGCCCTGTGGATCTATCCTGGGGAGGAAGCTGCACTCTGAGCAGAGCAGTGACCCCCAGCCACTGACAGGCCAGCCCAGCCTTACCACAGAGGCAGTGCTGCTCCACGGCCATCCCACAACGTCCACTGACCCCACAGTACGGGTCGGGGCTGTGGGCGGGGTGGGACTCACAGAGAGGCAGCAAGCCTCTGTGCTGGGGCTCCCAGGAAACACTCACCCCAGTGGGACAGTACTGAGTCAGGACCATCATCACGATGGTGAGTCCGTGTCCCCAGAAGACAAACCCAGCATGGTCCCAGGAGAAGACCCTCCTCCCCCCCACCCTCCCAGGGCCAAGAGAGTGTGCCTTGGACGACCAGTAGCTTGTTCCTCCAATGAGCTCATAACACCAACACACTCAGCTGAATCCTCCAACCCTCTCCCTCCTCCTCCTCTGTCTCCTCCTCATCTACCTCTGGTCAAATCCAGTACCAAGACAGAGTCCAAGGCTTTCCCTGCTCCAGCCCCAGCCCCAGCCTTGTCCCTGGCCCCAGCTCCAGCCGCATCCCTCTCTGCCCCATCCCCGGCCCCTCTCTCCTCTCTCCCAGACCCTGCTCTTTCCCCAGCTCCAGCCCCGGGGCGGACCCAGTCCCAAACCTCTCAAACCACAGTGAAAGTGGAGCTGCTTACTCCAGGGAAACAGTCCCAGAGTCTCCTTCCTCTCACAAGCAGCAATAACACGGAGCAGACGAACCAAAACAGCCCCGCCGCAAGTCTGAGAGGCCGATCTGTCAAGGATGTAGTCTCCTCAGCCTGGTCTATTGCCTCCACATACACCGACGCCATGGGGGAGAGAGAGGAGACGGAGGCATGGGGAGGAGAGGAGAGGAGAAGAGAGAGAAGAGAGGGGAGAGGAAGAGAGGTGAAGAGGGGAAAGATAATGGAGGGAAGGGAGAGGAAGAGAGGAGACGAGGGGAAAGATAATGGAGGGAAGGAGAGTAGGAGAGGAGAGGAGAGGAGAAGTGAGGAGAGGGAGAATGTGGCCAGACCATCCAGACTACGGCGGCTGAAGAAGTGGGAGGGTGAGACTGAGGGGAGAGACTGAGGGGGAGAGACTGAGGGGAGAGACTGAGGGGGAGAGACTGAGGGGGAGAGACTGAGGGGGAGAGACTGAGGGGGGAGACTGAGGGGGAGAGACTGAGGGGGAGACTGGGGGGGAGACTGAGGGGGAGACTGAGGGGGGGAGACTGAGGGGGGGAGACTGAGGGGGAGAGAATGAGGGGGAGAGGAGATGAGGGGAGAGACTGAGGGAGGAGGAGACTGAGGGGAGAGACTGAGGGGGAGACTGAGGGGAGAGACTGAGGGGGGTGAGACTGACAGGGGGGAGACTGAGGGGGTGAGACTGAGGGGGTGATGAGAATTGAGGGGGTGAGACGAGGGGGGGACTGAGAGGGGACTTGAGGGGGAGAGACATGAGGGGGAGAGAATGAGGAGGGAGGAGACTGAAGGGGAGAGACTGAGGGGGAGAGACTGAGGGAGGGAGAGACTGAGGGGGAGAGACTGAGGGGGTGAGACTGAGGGGGAGAGACTGAGGGTACAGTAAAGATGCCTGGTGCCAGGGATAGAGATGATATTGTGGCAGATAGATGTGTTTACCCAATGTCCTGTCTCTTCCACAGAACCACTTTCTCTCTCACACACACACACACACACACACACAAGTTGACACACGGACAGTACCCATCCCAAAACCCAAAACAAATCCTGTCTCTCACATGCACATGTCATATGCAAACACTAATACTCAAACATCAATTGCTTAACATAACGTGGCAGAAGTTGTGTTATGGATTGTCAAATAGTTGACATGGATCCAACGTGACCCTCTCTCCACCCTTAAGCAGAAGATGTGGTCAGAAAGAGACTCGTACAGTCGAAAACAAGAAAAACATTTCATTTGAAGTTTAGATTTGGTTTTTGTGTTGGAAGTTAAAGGAATGTTGAGACGTACTGCAGGAGTAGTATGTCATGGACTCTGGCTGTGTCCCAAATGGCACCCTATTCCCTATATAGACCAGGGCCCATAGAGCTTTGGCCAAAAGTAGTGCACTATGTAGGGAATAGGGTGCCTAGGCATCTGAACCCCTCCAGTATCCTCTGCTCTAAGCTTTAGCTACGATTGATCTCTCTCTGTTTCCAGAGTTACTTCATCACTCTTTGTTTTTCGACTGGAGCTCGCTCTCTCTCTCTCTCTCTCTCTCTCTCTCTCTCTCTCTCTCTCTCTCTCTCTCTCTCTCTCTCTCTGTCTCTGTCTCGTTCTCTCTCTCGCTCTCTCTCTCATCCTGTGGTTTTGCATGCACAGTAAATACTGTACTGCACTATATTCACAGTCTACAGGACTACAGTGTACCAGGCTTATCTCTTGTCTCTTAGGAGCCCATTGTATTACTCAATATTAAACTGTTTTGAAGATGTATTGGTATATATTCAAGAATTCAACTGTATTTTAACTATGTTTTGCATTTGGGGATAATAGAGGTGTTTCCTGAGGGCAGGGTTCAGGGTAGGGCCAGACCAGTCCCTCTCCATAGTCCCACAGCCAGATAGATTCCTGGGAAACCAGTCAACCCACTTACCCCTGGCTCTCTGGGGCTCCACAGCCATGCAGGCCCTCCCCTACCCTGGCTCTCTGGGGCTCCACGGCCATGCAGGCCCTCCCCTACCCTGGCTCTCTGGGGCTCCACAGCCATGCAGGCCCTCCCCTACCCTGGCTCTCTGGGGCTCCACAGCCATGCAGGCCCTCCCCTACCCTGGCTCTCTGGGGCTCCACAGCCATGCAGGCCCTCCCCTACCCTGGCTCTCTGGGGCTCCACAGCCATGCAGGCCCTCCCCTACCCTGGCTCTCTGGGGCTCCACAGCCATTCAGGCTCTCCCCCACCCTGGCTCGGGCTAGGGCCCATAATAGGGCCCATCAAATAAACCAACTTACCCAGCCCCCCCACTGACTCTCTGCCCCACTAAATGACAGTCACTCACCTCTCTCCGGGCTCTTCTACACTGGCCCTCAAGGGCCCCACCCCACTGGTTCTGGTGTTGCTTTACAGAGAAATCAACCAGCCAGGCTCCTCCTGGCAACCAGGGCTCCACAGCTACACTGGCCCTCAAGCCCCCCCCCCCACCCTTTCAGAGAAGCCAACTGACCAGCCCAGGCCCCTCCTCTGGCTCTTTGCCCCCCCCCAGCCCTGGTCTCCTTGGTTCTGTTTGGGTCCAACAGAGAACCAAACCCAGGCCCCCCCACCCAGGCATTCACCCAGCCCCTGCCTCCCTCCCTCTCAGCCCCCCTGGCACTGCTGGAGCCCCTTAACGTTCCATGACGTTCCATTAGATTAGTTATAATGCTGTCTGTCTGTTCGTGTCACTACTGATTTACCGGTTTTATTTTCTATGGTTTTAATAAAGACGTTCCCTATCCCTGAGAGAAGATAGTTTCTGTGTCTTTATGGAAACAAACAGACAGGCTGGGGAGGATTTAGAGGGAGGAACTGAACCAACAGTGAGTTTGTTAGTTAGTCCATTGTAAAGCCTTTTAAAAAAAAATAGGGATTTTCATATTATTTTTGTAAAATGACAGCTATTAAAGAATTCCTGTCAGCCATGTATCCTAGGATAGTAGGATACTACACTTAGGTTAGAAGGCATGGTAACTAAGACAGCCTCCCGAAAAACAGGCAGCATCCGATCCCTTGACCTGTCCTGCCTCCAACTCATGGGCAAAATATACAGTAATGTGAAAAGTAATAGCATTGCAATTAATGACTTGTTGAAATTTAGAAATGGACTGCAATGAAAAATGAATGGACTGCAATGACGTTGGAGGGTTTGCAGTGTAAAGCTGCCATAAAACCTGTAAAAGTGTTAAACCGATTATCAACACCGTCCTCTCTTTCTGAGAATTATCTAAAGGGCCCGGTTTCCCCGATAGCGATGGATCCCGGTTTTCCCGATAGCGATGGAACCTAAGTGTTTTAACGATACATCGTTCCTACGACGACCGCAGAGCGTGCGTTCGCTAAGTGCGTCGTTGGAACGTGTGTCGATACTGATAGGACCGAAAGAAAGGCAGCGCTGTTCTCGGATCAGCTTTCTCCATTCAGATCTTACCTTAACATTAGAATTACTCCACTACACTGACGACGGATCAGCACCTAGAGAGATATGATTACCCAACAATAATGTACTAAATCAGGTTTGGCACATGTTGATACTCATCATGAAATATATTGAGACATAAATTAGAACTGATTTCCATATGATTTAAATATACAGGCCCATGTAGGCTATTTATCTTTTAATGCAGAGTCATCTCGGTTTTCATTTGATGCATATTTTTTGTCCTTCGTTTGTTGGTACAATTTGAAAAGTATTTGGCAACTTTGTATTTGTAGTCAACATTGTTCTGAAGTTATCGGCGGTCACAGAGAGACCGATAAACATCTTGATTCTATGTTTAGCGGAGATCTTCTGTGTGTAATAAAGTGACGCAGGTCAAAAGAAGCATTAATGGACACACTTAGCAGACCTACCAGTGGTCTGAGGCAGTTTGTAAAATTAGTGTTTTCAAGTGCAACTTTAAGGAACAAATGGTTTTGGGAAACACCTTGGGGGATTTAATGATGCTCCTATGAAGGTTCTAACGATGAACTTAGCCTTAAAATGCTTTTAGCAAAACTGGGCCCTTGGGCTCTTTATTTTGGATTTAATCCTTACAAATGTCTCTCCTAAACCTGGTTCAACTGCTACACTACCATCTAGTAGTCCTACAAGGATCTCTGTAACCTGGTTTCAACTGCTGAACTACCATCTAGTAGTCCTACAAGGATCTCTGTAACCTGGTTTCAACTGCTACACTACCATCTAGTAGTCCTACAAGGATCTCTGTAACCTGGTTTCAACTGCTACACTACCATCTAGTAGTCCTACAAGGATCTCTGTAACCTGGTTTCAACTGCTACACTACCATCTAGTAGTCCTACAAGGATCTCAGTCTTAGCTCCATGACTCACGTGTGGCACAGTTAAGATAATTATCAGGAGAGGTGTTGATGATCTGGTAAGGCTTTGGTTTAATCCTTTCAAATAGCTCCTGTTAAAGACGTTAGTTGGTCCCCCTCAGCAACACACCACTATCTAGTGGGCTTCTGGGCATCTCTGTCTCAGCTCCATAGCCCATAGCATCTCTGTCTCAGCTCCGTAGCCCATAGCATCTCTGTCTCAGCTCCATAGCCCATAGCATCTCTGTCTCAGCTCCATAGCCCATAGAATCTCTGTCTCAGCTCCATAGCATCTCTGTCTCAGCTCCATAGCATCTCTGTCTCAGCTCCATAGCATCTCTGTCTCAGCTCCGTAGCCCATAGCATCTCTGTCTCAGCTCCGTAGCCCATAGCATCTCTGTCTCAGCTCCGTAGCCCATAGAATCTCTGTCTCAGCTCCGTAGCCCATAGAATCTCTGTCTCAGCTCCATAGCATCTCTGTCACAGCTCCATAGCCCATAGCATCTCTGTCTCAGCTCCATAGCCCATAGCATCTCTGTCTCAGCTCCATAGCATCTCTGTCTCAGCTCCATAGCCCATAGCATCTCTGTCTCAGCTCCATAGCATCTCTGTCTCAGCTCCGTAGCCCATAGCATCTCTGTCACAGCTCCATAGCCCATAGCATCTCTGTCTCAGCTCCATAGCCCATAGCATCTCTGTCTCAGCTCCATAGCATCTCTGTCTCAGCTCCACAGCCCATAGCATCTCTGTCTCAGCTCCATAGCATCTCTGTCTCAGCTCCGTAGCCCATAGCTTCTCTGTCTCAGCTCCACAGCATCTCTGTCTCAGCTCCATAGCCCATAGCATCTCTGTCTCAGCTCCATAGCATCTCTGTCTCAGCTCCATAGCCCATAGCATCTCTGTCTCAGCTCCATAGCCCATAGCATCTCTGTCTCAGCTCCATAGCATCTCTGTCTCAGCTCCATAGCATCTCTGTCTCAGCTCCACAGCATCTCTGTCTCAGCCCCATAGCATCTCTGTCTCAGCTCCACAGCCCATAGCATCTGTGTCTCAGCTCCACAGCCCATAGCATCTCTGTCTCAGCTCCGTAGCCCATAGCATCTCTGTCTCAGCTCCGTAGCCCATAGCATCTCTGTCTCAGCTCCATAGCCCATAGCATCTCTGTCTCAGCTCAGTAGAGTGAAGATCGGGTGATGAGGTTTGGAATATATCATCTGGGGTCCTAGTTAACGGCGGCAGGTAGCTTAGTGGGTTAAGAGTGTTGTGCCAGTAACCGAAAGGTCGCTGGTTCTAATCCCCCGAGCCGACTAGGTGAAAAAATCTGTCGATGTGTCCTTAAGCAAGGCACTTAATCCTAATTGCTCATGTAAGTCGCTCTGGATAAGAGCGTCTGCTAAATGACTAAAATGTAATTAACTTTTAAAAGTGCAGGAGTGCCCCAGGGATCAATGTTGGGACCAATTCCATTCAAATTCACAAATGTTCAGTTTACTTCCTGAATTTACTAAATTAAACAGAATTGACCCCAGCCCTGTTCAGGATCATGTGGACCTAGGATGATATTTCTGGAACAATGTCAATCTTCAGGCCAGTTGGTCTGATTGAAAGGAGTTTAGATCCAGCCTACAGTAATCATTAGTCAACACAGACTCTTACAATGAGACCTTGTTGCTCACTATTACATGTGTTCCCACGGTAGTCTCTGAGTCTGAGAACCGTCTCTAACTTGTCTGGTTATTGGCTAAACCCATAGGGTGCCTCCATAATGGCGTCCTTTTCCCTATATAGTGCACTACTTTTGACCAAGTGGGAACATTGCCTTAATAGTGCACTACTTAGGGAATAGGGTGCCATTCTGGACACTGACATAAACTCTAACTTGTCTGGTTAAAAGTGTCTGGGATTAGTGTAAAGACCCTCGGCTCAATTCAATCAAACCCACGTCGCAGTATCTACACAGTGGCCATTTTTCCCATGGTCCAATAAACTCTGATTTTGTGGGTACTGTATAAAAACCTAAAACTACTTCACAGGTACAGTATGTTTCCACTTTTCAGAATATGAAGTGTGTGCGTATGGGGAAGATGCTGCGTTTAATGCTATGGCGGTTTGAGTGATTTACATCCATAGTGTTAATCTGTTTAACATTTCACTGTTAGTCTAAACCTGTTGTTTATGAAGCATGTGACAACTAAAATGTAATTGATTTTGATTCTTATCTAACCTCACGATCAATCATTTTACTCAGAACATGACAGTTTTAATTTCTCTTTTCATAACAAAATATTTAATAAATATTGGACTTTCAAAACAAAAATATTGCCAGGATTGCAACATCAACACAAATAATACATTCATGTTCATAACACAAGGGTGGGAAAAGGACAGCAAATGAATGTTGCCATGATCTCATAAAGTATTAACATCTGAGATAAAACATGTTCATCTTAATAGTTTAAAACGGAAACAAAAAGAACAGTCTCCCGCAGTACACTACCAAGCAGGATCAACGCTTTAGCTAGCTACATTGACTAAATATTCGTAAATAACTATTTATTTTGAAAAATAAAATGGTCCAACTGGATCAACAACCAAAAACACAAGTATAGCTTTCTTATAGGAACTGTCCACTGTTCCCAGATTTGTATCAATATTACCTATAATGAATTAAAATGAGTGAAATGGTTTTCCTTCCAAAAAAAAGTAATAATTAAAGTATGTTAAAAAGCAGCTTTTCCATGTTTTTAATGGTGTGGGTATATAATGGGCAAAAAATATATTCATGTGAGTAGACCACTGATTGGCCAGCTCAGCTAATGTGCCAACATGACATGTTCTATGAGGAAATAGCAAGCATTTTTTAAACGGTCCGTTTGAGGTGGTTTTTTTTTTCTCTCTCCAATTTATGGGACACAAATACCAGGATAGGACGAGTCAACAACATTATCTGGGTATAAGTTAACAGAATATGGACAGTTACTTTAATGAACACTAAAATCAAAAGTTATTTCTGGTTGTTTATTAAAGTCAGCTGGCTAACTCATTGATGCTGCTTCGTAGCATTACCCCTCAGAGATAAGGAAGGTGGCGTGGATCCGATCTGATTCGACAGAGTCCCAGGGCCCGCAATCACAAAGAGTCTCAGAGGAGAAGTGCTGATCTAGGATCCGTTTTAAATTAAGATAACAACATCATGAATAACATTTTTAAAATGATCAGGGAGGACCTAGATCAGCTCTCGTATTCTGAAACAATTTATGAATACAGGCCCTGATCGGTTTGTGCCATCTTGCCAAATCCATTGCATTGTCGGGCAACATGCATGCAATGGAGTTGGCATGACAGCACAAACAGATCTGGCTGTTGACCCCTCTACCATTCAAGTATTCTAAGACTACATCCCAAATAACACCCTATTCCCTTTATAGTGCACTACTATTGACCAGGGCCCCATAGGAAATAGGGTGCCATTAGGGACCCGTCCTTGGTCCAGCTGTGACTGTATGTGTGATAGATTGTGTGATTTGCCAGAAGTTGGCAGATATACTCAGAAAACTGAAAAACAAGTATGTGACTGAAATACGTGATCATGAGTGACTTTAGATGCTGCTGTATGTGACTGAAATACGTGACCATGAGTGACTTTAGATGCTGCTAAAGGCTTTTTTGTTCAATTAGTAGTGACAAGCAAAACGCCTGCCACTACACTCAATCTCTGAATCGTTTACAACCCAAAGCAACTATTTATTTTGTATTCGTTTTTATTTCTTCTTCCCCCTAGCAGCAACAATGGATGCTGTAGAATCATAAAAAAAATGAAATCATTAAAAAAACGAAAACAATATTTCAATTTTTTTTTTTTTTTTTTTTTGCATTTTGTGAAATAATAAAAACAAATGACATTATCAAAAAAGAAACTAAGCTTACGAAGCTATCAGAACCTTAAATCTAGAGACAGAACATATAAATAAAAAGGAATGATATCTTAAGGCTCTTGATTATTATTTAAGTTAATAAATCAAATATACACAATGATTAATAAAAAATAAATGTACATATCTACACATTCTAAATCGACACAAATTCTTCATATTGCCAGCAACTGCTGACATCGACATCGACCCCGCCCACCCCAAAGAATAAATAATTCTAAAGTTGTATTTATTTTGGTTTCATTTCATGACAAGCTGAAAACGCTAATAACTAAACTAGAGAAGAGAGAGCACAAATACATGAAACTAAGTGCGTCTCAAATGGCGCCCTATTCCGTACACAGGGCTCTGATCAAAAGTAGTGTACTAAATAGGGAATAAGTGTTGTGTTTTGAAATGTGAAAACACAACACCACTTTCTCCTGCCAACCAAAGCAACCTTCTCTGCCAGTGTAGCCTTGCTAGTGTTAAATTAACACAGTCAGGGGCTACGTCCGAAACAGCACCCTATTCCCTAGATCGTACACAGGGTCCATAGGGCTCTGGTCAAAAGTAGTGCACTAAATAGGGAACAGGGTGCCACATCTGACGTACCCGGGGATCCATTATATCCAAGCAACAAACCTTGTAGTCACAGAATAATGACGCAACAGTTTAGGAACTACAAAACTACAAATCCCAGAACACTCCCCCCTGGTCCTCTCTTCACCAAGATCAAAAGGGCTTGGTTGCACGGCAACACAGTGTCAACACGGCGTGTCAGAAGGACCACGTTGCCGGAATGACCATAACGTCCAGGAAGGGGAATTCTTTACACAGCGTTTTACTTCCTGCCTCCTATACGTCACTTCCTACTATACGATGTAGTCCATCCTGTTGATGCTGTGTGCCGTCTCCAGGACCCTGTTGTCCTGTTTATTAGTCCAGTTAGGGTGCTTGGAGCTGGGCTGCAGCGTGGTCCCCCGGTCCTCCCGCTCCACCAGTGTGTAGGCAGGCTGTTTGGTTGTAACTGAGAAGCTTCCTTTATTCCCCATCTGTCTCTCTTCGTCGTTGTCCTCCTCCCCCTCTAGGGGGCGGTGGTGTGTTCGTACCTTGGCGATAATCGAGTTCTTATCCTCGTAGTCCTTGATGGCCACCGATGTTGTGAGATGGCCGCCGCCGCCTCCAGCGTGTTTCTCGTTGATGGGGTTCTTGATCTGGTTGAGCTGCTCACGCACGTTGTTGGTTGTGTTGTCATCCATCGCCGCGGACGACAAGGCTCCGTTTCCATGGTGATTGCCATGTTTCCGACGGCGACGCACGCAGTACAGGAAAACTGAGACGAACGCCAGGATCCAGAAGAGAATGAAGACAGAGGACAGCAGGGGCACAAGGTAGTCTGGAGAGGAGAGAAACAGGAATTCATCAACCATTTCATTGTTAAAGACTACAATTGAGTCTCTCCTGAAATATAGAAGTAATGTAACTTGAGGTCCCTCAAGTGTTAAACATCAAACTGTTTACTCCTACCAAAGGTTACGAACATCAACACTGTTTACTCCTACCAAAGGTTACGAACATCAAACTGTTTACTCCTACCAAAGGTTACGAACATCAACACTGTTTACTCCTACCAAAGGTTACGAACATCAACACTGTTTACTCCTACCAAAGGTTACGAACATCAACACTGTTTACTCCTACCAAAGGTTACGAACATCAACATAAAGACTGTTTACTCCTACCAAAGGTTACGAACATCAACATCAACACTGTTTACTCCTACCAAAGGTTACGAACATCAACACTGTTTACTCCTACCAAAGGTTACGAACATCAACATAAAGACTGTTTACTCCTACCAAAGGTTACGAACATCAACACTGTTTACTCCTACCAAAGGTTACGAACATCAACATAAAGACTGTTTACGCCTACCAAAGGTTACGAACATCAACATAAAGACTGTTTACGCCTACCAAAGGTTACGAACATCTACATAAAGACTGTTTACGCCTACCAAAGGTTACGAACATCAACACTGTTTACTCCTACCAAAGGTTACGAACATCAACATAAAGATGTTTACTCTACCAAAGGTTACGAACATCAACACTGTTTACTCCTACCAAAGGTTACGAACCATCAACACTGTTTACTCCTACCAAGGTTACGAAACATCAACACTGTTTACTCCTACCAAAGGTTACGAACATCAACACTGTTTACTCCTACCAAAGGTTACGAACATCAACACTGTTTACTCCTACCAAAGGTTACGAACATCAACACTGTTTACTCCTACCAAAGGTTACGAACATCAACACTGTTTACTCCTTACCAAAGGTTACGAACATCAACACTGTTTACTCCTACCAAAGGTTACGAACATCAACACTGTTTACTCCTACCAAAGGTTACGAACATCAACACTGTTTACTCCTACCAAAGGTTACGAACATCTACACTGTTTACTCCTACCAAAGGTTACGAACATCTACACTGTTTACTCCTACCAAAGGTTACGAACATCAACACTGTTTACTCCTACCAAAGGTTACGAACATCAACATAAAGACTGTTTACTCCTACCAAAGGTTACGAACATCAACATAAAGACTGTTTACTCCTACCAAAGGTTACGAACATCAACACTGTTTACTCCTACCAAAGGTTACGAACATCAACATCAACACTGTTTACTCCTACCAAAGGTTACGAACATCAACACTGTTTACTCCTACCAAAGGTTACGAACATCAACATAAAGACTGTTTACTCCTACCAAAGGTTACGAACATCAACACTGTTTACTCCTACCAAAGGTTACGAACATCAACATAAAGACTGTTTACGCCTACCAAAGGTTACGAACATCAACATAAAGACTGTTTACGCCTACCAAAGGTTACGAACATCTACATAAGATGTTTACGCCTACCAAAGGTTACGAACATCAACACTGTTTACTCCTACCCAAAGGTTACGAACATCAACACTGTTTACTCCTACCAAAGGTTACGAACATCAACATGTTTACTCCTACCAAAGGTTACGAAAATCAACACTGTTTACTCCTACCAAAGGTTACGAACATCAACACTGTTTACTCATACCAAGGTTACGAACACCTCAACACTGTTTACTCCTACCAAAGGTTACGAACATCAACACTGTTTACTCCTACCAAAGGTTACGAACATCAACACTGTTTACTCCTACCAAAGGTTACGAACATCAACACTGTTTACTCCTACCAAAGGTTACGAACATCAAACACTGTTTACTCCTACCAAAGGTTACGAACATCAACACTGTTTACTCCTACCAAAGGTTACGAACATCTACAACTGTTTACTCCTACCAAAGGTTACGAACATCTACACTGTTTACTCCTACCAAAGGTTTACGAACATCAACACTGTTTACTCCTACCAAAGGTTACGAACATCAACATAAAGACTGTTTACTCCTACCAAAGGTTACGAAACATCAACATAAAGACTGTTTACTCCTACCAAAGGTTACGAACATCAACACTGTTTACTCCTACCAAAGGTTACGAACATCAACACTGTTTACTCCTACCAAAGGTTACGAACATCTACACTGTTTACTCCTACCAAAGGTTACGAACATCAACACTGTTTACTCCTACCAAAGGTTACGAACATCAACATAAAGACTGTTTACTCCTACCAAAGGTTACGAACATCAACATAAAGACTGTTTACTCCTACCAAAGGTTACGAACATCAACACTGTTTACTCCTACCAAAGGTTACGAACATCAACATAAAGACTGTTTACTCCTACCAAAGGTTACGAACATCAACACTGTTTACTCCTACCAAAGGTTACGAACATCAACACTGTTTACTCCTACCAAAAGGTTACGAACATCAACACTGTTTACTCCTACCAAAGGTTACGAACATCAACACTGTTTACTCCTACCAAAGGTTACGAACATCAACACTGTTTACTCCTACCAAAGGTTACGAAACATCAACACTGTTTACTCCTACCAAAGGTTACGAACATCAACACTGTTTACTCCTACCAAAGGTTACGAACATCAACATAAAGACTGTTTACTCCTACCAAAGGTTACGAACATCAACACTGTTTACTCCTACCAAAGGTTACGAACATCAACACTGTTTACTCCTACCAAAGGTTACGAACATCAACACTGTTTACTCCTACCAAAGGTTACGAACATCTACATAAAGACTGTTTACTCCTACCAAAGGTTACGAACATCTACATAAAGACTGTTTACTCCTACCAAAGGTTACGAACATCAACACTGTTTACTCTACCAAAGGTTACGAACATCTACATAAGACTGTTTACTCCTACCAAAGGTTACGAACATCTACATAAAGACTGTTTACTCCTACCAAAGGTTACGAACATCAACAAACTGTTTACTCCTACCAAAGGTTACGAACATCAACACTGTTTACTCCTACCAAAGGTTACGAACATCAACACTGTTTACTCCTACCAAAGGTTACGAACATCAACACTGTTTACTCCTACCAAAGGTTACGAACATCAACAAACTGTTTACTCCTACCAAAGGTTACGAACATCAACAAACTGTTTACTCCTACCAAAGGTTACGAACATCTACATAAAGACTGTTTACTCCTACCAAAGGTTACGAACATCTACATAAAGACTGTTTACTCCTACCAAAGGTTACGAACATCAACACTGTTTACTCCTACCAAAGGTTACGAAAATCAACACTGTTTACTCCTACCAAAGGTTACGAACATCAACACTGTTTACTCCTACCAAAGGTTACGAACATCTACATAAAGACTGTTTACTCCTACCAAAGGTTACGAACATCTACATAAAGACTGTTTACTCCTACCAAAGGTTACGAACATCAACACTGTTTACTCCTACCAAAGGTTACGAACATCAACACTGTTTACTCCTACCAAAGGTTACGAACATCTACATAAAGACTGTTTACTCCTACCAAAGGTTACGAACATCAAGACTGTTTACTCCTACCAAAGGTTACGAACATCAACAAACTGTTTACTCCTACCAAAGGTTACGGACATCAACATAAAGACTGTTTACTCCTACCAAAGGTTACGAACATCAACAAACTGTTTACTCCTACCAAAGGTTACGAACATCAACACTGTTTACTCCTACCAAAGGTTACGAACATCAATATAAAGACTGTTTACTCCTACCAAAGGTTACGAACATCAACATAAATACTGTTTACTCCTACCAAAGGTTACGAACATCAACACTGTTTACTCCTACCAAAGGTTACGGACATCAACACTGTTTACTCCTACCAAAGGTTACGGACATCAACATGAAGACTGTTTACTCCTACCAAAGGTTACGAACATCAACACTGTTTACTCCTACCAAAGGTTACGAACATCAACACTGTTTACTCCTACCAAAGGTTACGAACATCAACACTGTTTACTCCTACCAAAGGTTACGAACATCTACATAAAGACTGTTTAATCCTACCAAAGGTTACGAACATCAATATAAAGACTGTTTACTCCTACCAAAGGTTACGAACATCAATATAAAATACTGTTTACTCCTACCAAAGGTAAGACACTACCTTTTGCCAAATTGTTGGTAAGCCAGTAGGAAAATGTAATGGTGCGTTTGCTCCCCAAAAACGTATCAATCAACGATCGTGAAAAAAATTATTCATTCATATTTATTCTATTGTGTTCCCTCCCTTCAGAGCAACCTGGAGGAGGAAGAGGAGGAGGAGGAAGAGGAGGAGAGGAACAACATGTCCTGTGAGCCCCTAATAACCCCTAGAAGGGGTAGAGGACAGGAGGAGAAACTTCCATCTGGCAGCAACAGAGAAGGGCTGTCTGTCACGATGATGAATCACCTTTAAATACAGGAGTCTCGCTCCTCTGTCTGCAACATGAGTCTCACTACAACGTCCATTTGTCTGCAGCCTCCCGTCCTCCTCTCCCTGACTCCATCCCCATTTCTCCACTCCTAGCCAAGTCCTCCTCTCCCTGACTCCATCCCCATTTCTCCACTCCTAGCCAAGTCCTCCTCTCCCTGACTCCATCCCCATTTCTCCACTCCTAGCCAAGTCCTCCTCTCCCTGACTCCATCCCCATTTCTCCACTCCTAGCCAAGTCCTCCTCTCCCTGACTCCATCCCCATTTCTCCACTCCTAGCCAAGTCCTCCTCTCCCTGACTCCATCCCCATTTCTCCACTCCTAGCCAAGTCCTCCTCTCCCTGACTCCATCCCCATTTCTCCACTCCTAGCCAAGTCCTCCTCTCCCTGACTCCATCCCCATTTCTCCACTCCTAGCCAAGTCCTCCTCTCCCTGACTCCATCCCCATTTCTCCACTCCTAGCCAAGTTCCAAAACCCCCTGGCTACAGCTCAAGGCTGTTAGACCTGCATTGCATTACAGCTCTCATGTGACTGATAGAGAGAACTGGACTGGACCTATGGGCCCGGGTCAAAAGTAGTGCACTTCATAGGAGATAGGGTGCCATTCTCTGGTCTAAAGTAGTGCACTTCATAGGAGATAGGGTGCCATTCTCTGGTCTAAAGTAGTGCACTTCATAGGGGATAGGGTGCCATTCTCTGGTCTAAAGTAGTGCACTTCATAGGAGATAGGGTGCCATTCTCTGGTCTAAAGTAGTGCACTTCATAGGGGATAGGGTGCCATTCTCTGGTCTAAAGTAGTGCACTTCATAGGGGATAGGGTGCCATTCTCTGGTCTAAAGTAGTGCACTTCATAGGAGATAGGGTGCCATTCTCTGGTCTAAAGTAGTGCACTTCATAGGGGATAGGGTGCCATTCTCTGGTCTAAAGTAGTGCACTTCATAGGGGATAGGGTGCCATTCTCTGGTCTAAAGTAGTGCACTTCATAGGGGATAGGGTGCCATTCTCTGGTCTAAAGTAGTGCACTTCATAGGGGATAGGGTGCCATTCTCTGGTCTAAAGTAGTGCACTTCATAGGGGATAGGGTGCCATTCTCTGGTCTAAAGTAGTGCACTTCATAGGGGATAGGGTGCCATTCTCTGGTCTAAAGTAGTGCACTTCATAGGGGATAGGGTGCCATTCTCTGGTCTAAAGTAGTGCACTTCATAGGAGATAGGGTGCCATCTGGGGTACAGCCTGGACAGATTGAGATTTGGTTTTTCCATGAACGTGTAGAAGGTTAGAACTCAGGACAGTTCCTCAGTGTTTCAGGGCTAGCTATATTTTACAGATCTCTTATTAACCTCTCCCTCATCTCTTCCTTCCTTCCTTTACACTACACACACAGAGAGAAAGAGACAGAGACAGAGAGAGAGAGAGAGAGAGAGAGAGCGAGAGAGAGAGAGAGAGAGAGAGAGAGAGAGAGAAGCCTGATCATAAACAACAGAAAGGCAGTGTGTAGGAAACCGGTTTGGCTGTGTGTGTTTCTGTATGTGTGGTAGAGGTAGTAGTGTGTGTTTCTGTATGTGTGGTAGAGGTAGTAGTGTGTGTTTCTGTATGTGTGGTAGAGGTAGTAGTGTGTGTTTCTCAGTGGCAGCTGTAAGCGGCGGTCGTGTCAGTGGCGGTTTTGGTCGCAAAACTAAGACCGTCGCTGAAACAAAGACTGTCCTGCCGAGTTTTTGGAGGAAGGAAAAAGAGGAAGGCTCCACACCACTCTCAGTATCTTACCTCGTTATTTTCTGATTCTCATTTTGCTCTTTTGTAGCTTTTGGCAACTATGTGTGTGTTTTCTATACCTGTTGGCTCCTCTCCCTGTATGCTTTACAGACGCTCCCCACCCCTTGGCTGCAAACCTTTCTAATTTAGTGGACCCTGCGCGCACAACCCATGTGGAATTCTGGGTCTCTGGCAGCGTTTGGAACTGCCGATCCGCGGTCAAGAACGCTGAGTTAATCTCAGCCTATGATGCCCTTCAGTCCCTTGACTTTTTGGCCCTGACGGAGACATGGGATCCCCCCAGAGAACACTGCTACTCCAGCTGCTCTCTCTTCATGTGTTCTCTCATAGTCCGAGAGCATTTGGTCGTCGCGGGGGTGGCACAGGTCTACTCATTTCTCCTAAGTGGAGATTCTCTTTTCTCCCTCTCTCACCTCTCCATCTCCTCATTTTAATTCCATACTGTCACTGTCACTTGTCCACTGAAGCTTAACATTGTTGTCATCATTCGCTCACCAGGTGCCCTTGAAGAGTTCCTCAATGAGCTTGACACCTTGATAAACACATTTCCAGATGATGGCTGACCGCTCTTCGTACTTGGCGACTTCAACCTCCCGACGTCTGCCTTCGATTCATTTCTTTACAACTCTCTCTTTCCCCTCCTTGCCTCTTTTGACCTCACCCTTTCACAATCCCCTCCAACTCACAAGGCAGGCAATACTCTTGACCTCATCTTTACTAGAGGCTGTTCTCCTACTAATCTCACTGCAACCCCCCTCCAGGTCTCTGACCACTACTTTGTTTCCTTTTCTGTCTCCCTTTCCTCCATCACCACTCAGCCCCGACCCAGATGGTCATCGTCACTCTCTCTCCCCTCTCCTCTTCTATCATCTCTCTCTTCTGCTAAATCCTTCTCCCCTCCTGTCTCCTGATTCTGCCTCTTCGACACTACTCTCCTCCCTTTCCGCATTCTATGACTCACACTGTCCCCTTTCCTCCCAGCCGGCTCGGCACTCCCCTCCTGTGGCTGAGTGACTCATTGTGAGTTTACAGAACATGGCAGCGGGCAGCTGAGCAAAAATGGAGGAAAACTAAACTTCTGGAGGACCTATCATCCTTTCCCTTCCTCCTCTCTACCTTCTCTTCCTCTGTATCCCCTGCTAAAGCCACTTTCTATCACTCTAAATGTCAAGCTTCTGCCTCTAACCCTAGGAAACTATTTTCCACCTTCTCCTCCCTCCTTAATCCTCCCCCTCTGCGGACGACTTTGTCAACCACTTTGACGACATCCGCTACTCATTCACCCAGCCTATTGAGTCCACTGCTCCCACTTCACACAGAACTACCCTACGCCTTGACCTCTTTCTCCCCTCTCTCCAGATGACATCCTGCGACTAGTGAGGTCTGACCGCCCGACAACCTGCCCGCTCGACCCCATCCCCCCCTCCCTTCTCCAGACCATCTCTGGAGACCTTCTCCCATTGGCTGCGTCCCCTCTGACTTCAAAATGGTCCGAGTCACTCCCCTCCTCAAGAAACCAACACTCGACTCATCTGACATAAAGAACTACAGACCTGTATCCCTTCTTTCTTTCCTTTCCAAAACACTTGAGCGTGCCGTCTCTGATCAACTCTCTCGCTATCTCTCAGAACCATCTTCTTAACCCTAACCAGTCAGGCTTGAAGACGGGTCATTCAACCAAGACTGCTCCTCTGTGTCACAGAGGCTCTCCGCACTGCAAAGCTGACTCTCTCTCTCCTCTGTTCTCATCCTTCTAGATCTATCGCACTGCCTGTTATATAAACCGGGATGAATGCTTTTAACTGTGAACTTGTGATATGTGGTTGTCCCACCTAGCTATTTTTAATGATGGAAGGCGCTAACTGTGGGACTGTGAATAGCTGGTTGTCCCACCTAGCGAATCTTAAGATGAATGCTCTAACTGTGGACCTGTGATATGTGTTGTCCCACCTAGCTATCTTAAGATGAATGCTCTAACTGGGATATGGTGGTTGTCGCTCACCTAGCTATCTTAAGATGAATGCTCTAACTGGTGATATGTGGTTTGTCCACCAGCTATCTTAATATGAATGCTCTAAACTGTGCTACGTGAGTGTGGTTGTCCCACCTAGTATCTTAAGCTTGAGCTCTAACTGTGACCTGTGATATGTGGTTGTCCCACCTAGCTATCTTAAGATGAATGCTCTAACTGTGACTGTGATATGTGGTTGTCCCACCTAGCTATCTTAAGATGAATGCTCTAACTGTGACTGTGATATGTGGTTGTCCCACCTAGCTATCTTAAGATGAATGCACTAACTGTGACTGTGATATGTGGTTGTCCCACCTAGCTATCTTAATATGAATGCTCTAACTGTGACTGTGATATGTGGTTGTCCCACCTAGCTATCTTAAGATGAATGCTCTAACTGTGACTGTGATATGTGGTTGTCCCACCTAGCTATCTTAATATGAATGCACTAACTGTAAGTCGCTCTGGATAAGAGTGTCTGCTAAATGACTAAAATGTAAAATGTAAATGTGTGTTTTGTACCCGCATGGCTGTGTGTGTGTGTGTGCGTGTGTGTGTGTGAATCATACCTGTCTGGCTGGCGCTGGGCCTCTGCTGCACACAGACCTCGGCGATGGCGGTGATGATGCTGTTATTGCCATTGTGTTTAGACACCAGATCAACGATACTATCTGTTATCTCCTTTATAGGTGATCTGTCCATCCGCGGGTCCTCTGTGTACTGGAGAGAGAGAGAGAGAGAGAGAGACACACTAAGGATGAGCATTAGAATAATATTACATTTCTTTGGATATCCGGATAGTCAAAATGCATGTTTAAAAAACTATATGTTTAACTTCCTGCGCAGCCTGTGCGACTTGAGTGCCGCTTGCTTGCATCAGTGCGATGGGCAGGTGAGTTTAACGAGAGAGAAGCCATACAGACTCGCGTTAGTTAGACTAACTTCTATATTCCATAGGTTATCATCCCATCTCGTGTGCCCGTCTTGACTGCATCAAGTCGATGTAAAGAAGCTAGCCAGCTATGTTAGCCAGCTAGCTACCTAGGCTATTTTGCTGCGTTTCACCGTCCTTGTCTACAACTCCATTCAGATTAAACAACAGCCTACCCCTTCTCATTTAACTAACTCTGTTCAGATTAAACAACAGCCTACCCCTTCTCATTTAATGAACTCCATTCAGATTAAACACTGTGAGACGCCTAAGACAGCGCTACAGGGAGACAGGACGGACAGCTGATCATCCTCGCAGTGGCAGACCACGTGTAACACCTGCACAGGATCGGTACATCCGCACATCACACCTGCGGGACAGGTACAGGATGGCAACATCAACTGCCCGAGTTACACCAGGAACGCAAAATCCCTCCATCAGTGCTCAGACTGTCCACAATAGGCTGAGAGAAGCTGGACTAAGGGCTTGTAGGCCTGTTGTAAGGCAGGTCCTCACCAGACATCACCGGCAACAACGTCGCCTATGGGCACAAACCCACCGTCGCTGGACCAGACAGGACTGGCAAGAAGTGCTCTTCACTGACGAGTCGCGGTTTTGTCTCACCAGGGGTGATGGTCGGATTCATCGGACTGAGCTTGTTGTCATTGCAGGCAATCTCAACGCTGTGCGTTACAGGGAAGACGCACTGCAGCACTTAATGCAGCTGGTGGCCACACCAGATACTGACTGTTACTTTTGATTTTGACCCCCCCTTTGTTCAGGGACACATTATTCCATTTCTGTTAGTCACATGTCTGTGGAACTTGTTCAGTTTATGTCTCAGTTGTTGAATCTTGTTATGTTCATCCAAATATTTACACATGTTAAGTTTGCTGAAAATAAACGCAGTTGACAGTGAGGACGTTTTTCTTTTGCTGAGTTTATATAACACAAAATCTATGTGTATAGTGCGTATGTTATCGTGTTATTGTATGCATGTGTCTATGTTTGTGTTGCTTCACAGTCCCGCTGTTCCATTAGGTGGTTTTTAAAATCCTAATTTTACTGCTGGCATGAGTTACTTGATGTGGAATAGAATTCCATGTAGTCATGGCTCTATGTAGTACTGTGCTCCTCCCATAGTCTGTTCTGGACTTGGGGACTGTCAAGAGACCTCTGGTGGCATGTCTTGTGGGGTATGCATGGGTGTCCGAGCTGTGTGCCAGTAGTTCAAACAGACAGCTCGGTGCATTCAACATGTCAATACTTTTTTTCACCTCTTCCACACTCACTTTACAGAATTCAAAAATTACATTGCTTGTCTTTCATAATTTGGTCAGATATACTTGGATGTGTAGTGTCAGCATTTGTTGCTGGCATGTCATGCCTAAGTTTGCTAATCTTGCCAATGAAAAAATCATTAAAGTAGTTGGCAATATCAGTGGGTTTGGTGATGAATGAGCCATCTGATTCAATTAATGAAAGAGCGGAGTTCGCCTTTTTGCCCAAAATTTCATTTAAGGTGCTACAAAGCTTTTTACTATCATTCTTTATGTCATTTCTCTTTGTTTCATAGTGTAGTTTCTTCTTCTTTTTAATCAGTTTAGTCACATGATTTATCAATTTGCAGTACGTTTGCCAATCGGTTGTGCAGCCAGACTTATTTGCCATTCCTTTTGCCTCATCCCTCTCAGCCATACAATTGTTTCATTCCCCATCAATCCACTGGGATTTAACCGTTTTTTACAGTAATTTTCTTAATGGGTGCTTATTAGTAACTGGGAGAAGCAATTTCATAAATGTGTCAAGTGCAGCATCTGTTTGCTCCTCATTACACACCACAGACCAACAAATATTATTTACATCAACAACATAGGAATCACTACAAAACGTATTGTATGACCTCTTATACACAATATTAGGCCCAGCCTTTGGAACTTTGGTTTTCCTAGATATGGCTACTATATTGTGATCACTACATCCAATGGATTTGGATACTGCTATCAAACAAATATCTGCAGCATTAGTAAAGATATGATCAATACATGTTGATGATTTCATTCCTGTGCTGTTTGTAACTACCCTGGTAGGTTGATTGATAACCTGAACCAGGTTGCAGGCACTAGTTACAGTTTGAAGCGTTCGAGTGGGCAGCCTGATGAAAGCCAGTCAATATTTAAATCACCCAGAAAGTATACCTCTCTATTGATATCACATATATTATCAAGCATTTTACACGTTATCCAGATACTGACTGTTAGCACTTGGTGGTCTATAGCAGCTTCCCACCAGAATGGGCTTTAGGTGAGGCAGATGAACCTGTAGCCATATTACTTCAACAGTATTTAACATGAGATCATCTCTAAGCTTTACAGGAATGTGGTTCTGAATATAAACAGCAACACCTCCACCATTGGCATTTCTGTCTTTTCTGTAAATGTTATAACCTTGTATTGCTACCACTGTATCATCAAAGGTATTATCTAAGTGAGTTTCAGAGATTGTCAGAATATGAATGTCATCTGTTACTAGCGAATTATTGATTTCATAAACCTTTCTTAAGCTACATATGTTAACGTGGGCTATTTTTAACACTTTTCGGGGATGCTTGATTATTTTTCTTGCTTTACTGGGAAGCTTAGCAGAGATAGACATACTTAGGTTATGTTTATTAGTGCAGGATGAGCTGCACACAGTGGACTTCCTACTAGGGCACACCACCTCAGTGCTAACAGTATTCCTCTGGTTCATAGGCATATGACTACTGCATACAATAGCTGTAGGATGAGCAGAGGAACGTGACGGACTCTCAGCCTCAGGAAGCAACCTGGTGATATCTTGAACTTTTGCCCAAGGAAAACACAAAGTCTTTGCCCCAGGTACAGATATATGCCTCACCATTGAACTCCCTATCACAATCGCCGTAATGATTCGGCCTCTGCCATGTCTCATCAAGGCAAAGTGTGGCTAAATATATTTTGATTTGTTTAACACTTTTTTTGGTTACTACATGATTCCATATGTGTTATTTCATAGTTTCGATGTCTTCACTATTATTCTACAATGTAGAAAATAGTAACAATAAAGAAAAACACTTGAATGTGTAGGTGTGTCCAAACTTTTGACTGGTCCTGTATGTCTATTGCGTAACCAGGCCAGCCCAGTACAGCTCCTCTTGGCTCTGTAGTGTGAAAAGGGTGACAGACTTATGAAGACTAAGGGAGATCCTTCATGCTTTACTTTGCAGACCATACATTATGTTCAATTTTTCTTACAGTCCACGGAAATGTGTATTTTTGCTTTTAACCCCAAGACACAGACACACAGGTGACAAGATGTGACTTACAATGCTGAGATGGATCTCGTTGCTAGCGGAGGTTGAAGGGTCACAGGTTATGGAAACAGAATACTCAGAGGACACATTCTTCACCACGTACAGTCTCAGCTGCTTACACACTGCCTCGATGCTCAGACCCTGGAGAGACACAGAGAGAGGAGAGAGAAAGTTACACACTGCCTTTCAAATCTAAAAATGTGAAGCAGACAACCTAAGAAAAGTAACAACAGTGATAAATGGTTTGATGAAGAATGCAAAAACCTAAGAAAGAATTTGAGAAACCTATCCAACCAAAAACATAGAGACCCAGAAAACCTGAGACTACACCTTCATTATGGTGAATCACTAAAACAATACAGAAATACACTACGGAAAAAGGAACAGCATGTCAGAAATCAGCTCAATGTAATTGAAGAATCCATAGAATCTAACCACTTCTGGGAAAATTGGAAAACACTAAACAAACAACAACACGAAGAGTTATCTATCCAAAACGGAGATGTATGGGTAAACCACTTCTCTAATATTTTTGCCCTATAACAGAGAACAAACAGCAAAAACATGATCAATTACAAATCTTAGAATCAACTATTAAAGACTACCAGAACCCACTGGATTCCAATTACATTGAATGAACTACAGGACAAACTACAAACCCTCCAACCCAAAAAGGCCTGTGGTGTTGATGGTATCCTCAATGAAATGATAAAATATACAGACCACAAATTCCAATTGGCTATACTTAAACTCTTTAACATCATCCTCAGCTCTGGCATCTTCCCCAATATTTGGAACCAAGGACTGATAATCCCAATCCACAAAAGTGGAGACAAATTTGACCCCAATAACTAACGTGGAATATGCGTCAACAGCAACCTTGGGAAAATCCTCTGCATTATCATTAACAGCAGACTTGTACATTTCCTCAGGGAAAAGAAGTACTGATCAAATGTCAAATTGGCTTTTTACCAAATTACCGTACGACGGGGGGCGCTAGTCAGCAAGCCATGGAGTAGGTCACGTTTTTCCGAGCTCCTGCTGAAATTACATTTATTTAATACTTTCTTTGCGCTTTGACCCAAAAAGAACTAGGAAACACAGCTTTTGAATGACGTGCTTTACTTTATTACACTTTTTATTTTAATGTGTAAATGGCACATAACCTGCAAAAGGTTTAAGTTCAGCGGAGTCACTGACAAAAGACAAAACACGAGGCCCAAGACGAGGAGCTTGAGTTCTTCTCTTCGGCTCGGCGAAAACGAGGATTTGAAGGCCGAGATTCTTGCTGCCCTCAGAGCAGAGAACAAAATCCCTACAGGAACACCGGTCTGCCCTCAGAGCGGACATTTAATCTATACCCAAGTCGGAAGTCAAGGAGGCGCTCAGTGAGGACTTTCATTTTATTAAGTCGGAGTTACAAGCAGTCAAGAATGA